CGCCGACACTGCCCCTGCTTCCATACGAGCTTACTTGGAGAGCTGCAGGGGAACCGGGGAAAGGGATTCTAGGGACGGGAGGGGCGGGAGTGGCGGAGGGCGCTCCCCGAGTGCACCGCCCCAAGACGCCCCGGCCGTGCGCCACGCTTCCTCGACACGATCTCTCCTCGACATCCCCGATCCTCCTCCTCCTCCTCCTCCTCCTCCTCCTCCTCCTCCTCCTCCTCCTCCTCTTCCACGATCTCTCCCCGACATCCCCGAGATCCCAACACGTCCTTTGTCGCGTGGCTCCGCTGCTCGGCCGGCCGAGAGGGGCGCTGGTGGCCCTCGAGCACTGCAGGAGAGGCGTCGAGGCGGACGAGGGCGAAAAAAAAACGCTGGCACGGCGCCCCCCTTCGGCGCCGCGCCGCTGCCCTTCGGAGCCTCTCGCCGTGAGCCGGATCGACGGGCTTGTTGCTGGCCACGTCCTCCCTCCGGGGGCGTCCGAGGGGCGGGCGTCCAAGCGGGGGGCGTCCGAGCGGGGGCCTCGCGAGGTATGGCCCGAGGCACGTGCGCGGCCCCGGGGGGGGGCCAATGGAAATCTTGGAACAGGAGGCGGGGGGCCACGAGGTCCGGGCGGATACCATGGCCCCCGCCGCGAGGTCCCCTCCCTGGTCGTCGCTCCCCTCTTGGCCGCTCCCGACTTCTCCCTGGCCATCGCTCGGACGTCCATTCCCTATGTTTTTTTAGGTTTCGTGCGTGGTTTTCGCCAAATGATCGAGGATGCTCCTCGATGGTCCTCGCCGAAGGAAAAATGCACGCGTCCGAGCGATGCCAAGCTCCTGGGGGCCTTCACGGGGCCGCGGGAGCGAGACAGTCATGGCTCGGGCTGCAGGCAGGGCCCCAAGAAGAGGTCCAGGCTTTCGTCGGGGAGCCACGCCGCGACAAAGAGAACGAGACGTCGGAGACATGGGGCGTCCCAAGGTGTGGCCCCGAGAGGGCCCCGAGATGGCCCAGGCGAGCCTGACGGACGCCAAGGCGGTCCCCGACGTGGCCGACGAGCCTTTCTCGAGGGGGTCCCAAAAATTCCAAATCGCCAGATGGATCGAACACGGAAACGCGTCGTTTACATCTTCTGGCCTTCCCGCCTCCGCGGCCCAGACTGGGCCCCGAGGCGGCCCCGAGAGGGCCCCGGGAGCCCGGCCAGCTGCAGCAGGGCCCGCGTCGCGATGTCGGCTCCTGCAGGCGAAGTCGTCGCCGCGGGACAAAATTTTGGCTCGAGCGCACCCCAGGGCAGGTCTGGGGGCTGATGCTCTGACCCCCGAGCCCGCACGGCAAGTTCACGTCGCGATGGCGTCGGCGTCAATGTCTGGCACCACGCGCATCCTTCCGCCGTCAGCGATCGCAGCTGTCCGACACAGCAGGGCGGCCGACATCGACCGGCTCCGGGCCACTGGCGGCGCTCGGTCCAACCACCAGCGTCGGGGTCGCCGCGGCGCCGACACGCCGCGAACCCCGTGTGCCGTGCACGTGGGCGCTGGCCGAAGCATCGGCGTGCCTCTGCTACGGTCGGCCTGTGTCATCAGGACGCGCGGTAAGGATGCAAGGGCCTTGGAAGGCCACTTCGAGACCTTTCGAGCGCGCCTCGCGGCGAACGAACGTGGCCAAGGATGGACCGAGGGGCAGGGCTGCAAGGGTGGCCTTGGGAAGGTCGCCCGTGCTTACCGTGCGGGTGGACTGTATGCCGGGGATGCCCCTGTCGGCGTCTTTTGGGGGAGCGCGAAGCCTCGGCCGGAATCCGGGGCCGCTCTTAGGGGAACAAACAGTGACATAAACATAAAAACTCGGAGGTCCGCGCGGATTTCTCGGATCGGCGCTGGACCCCCCTCCCTGGCGCACGGAGCGCGCCAGGGGCGGCGCCGGAAGCGCCGCCGGGTGGCCCCAGCGCCGATCCGAGAACTCCGCGCGGACCTCCGAGTTTCTATGTTGATGCCACTTTTTGTTCCCCCAGCTCTTTGGGCCCCGGGCCCTCGTGCCTCCCGCCCGCTGCTCTGCCCCGCGAGCCGCTGCCCCTCCGCGGGCCTGCCACCTGGTGCCGCCGCGGCGCGCCACGGCTGCTGCCGTCCCGCGCCTCCCCGTGCCGTGCCTTCCCCCCGCCCCGTGGCTCAAAAGGTACGTGTGTGTGTGTGTGTGTGTGTGTGTGTGCGTGTGTGTGTATTTTTTTTTGTGTGTGTGTGTGTGTATTTGTGTGTGTGTGTGTGTGTGTGTGTGTGGACGGGCTCCTTTTCTCTTCCCCCGTGCGCCGCGGCTCAATTCGCGTTCTGTGGGTCCCACTCATGCTACATCGCCCCAGAGCAGTCCCTCTGCCTAGCCGCCGACGGAAAAAGCGTGAGTGTGTGTGTGTGTGTGTCGCCGTTGACGGCAACACCACATCGCTCACCCTCCGGATCTTCGCCTCCGGTTCCTGTCCGCGGCGTACCTTTTCCTGTGCAAGCTCTTCGGCACCGCCTGCACCCCGGGCCCCGCCCACTCCAGCCGCCTGAGGCCCCGCCCGCCTGTGCCCTGTCTCCCTAATTAAAGCTGCGCGTAGCCCGCCTAGCTTTTAGCGGAAGAGGTTCGCTCTCGCCCCGCCGACCAAAAAGTGTGTGTGTGTGTATGTGTGTGTGTGTGTGTGTCTGCGTGTGGGAGAGGGGGCGGCCTGGCAAGGTACGGGTCCCAGACCCTTGCTCGTGATGGCCAAGGTCTCCCAAGAAGCAGCCACGGCGGCCTGGCAGGCTTCCAATACGATCCACGCGGCCCCAGAAGCGCACGAGAGACCTTGGGGCGCCGGCCTTCTGCAAATTTTGTCCAGGCCCTGCCTGCGGCACCCCTCGCTCTGGAGGTGGGGCCTCTCGAGGTGCAGCGCCCAGAAGAGATCACAGGACGGACACAACTTTTCTCAACTTTCGGCCGCTGGGGGCCCTTATGGGGCCCCGCGACAATCAAAACACGTCTCGGGATGAAACACTGGTCTTAGAGGGGTTTTGGACGAACAACAAAATTACTCGAGATATATTCAAGCAACAATCAAACATGCTCAAAACGTTGTCCCCCGATTATTTTTGAACTATTTTTGAATATTCCCCCTGTAGAAGGACAGGCCCGACTTAACACTGGTCCCGGGGAAAGGGTCGGGCCTTCCTTGGACTGTGTATTGGAATAATCAAGACATCCCATGTCTGGGGTGGGCCCGATGGCAGGAAAAGGAAGCCCCAAGGCTGAATCTGCACTGCTTGATGAGGCCACTCGTCCTTCAGGGCCCCATCTCTAGAGGCCGCCCGAATGGGGTCCGAGGAGATGGCGTCGGAGTATTGCGCCGCATCGCCGACGCATCGCCAATGACATCGGCGATGCGTTGGCGATGTCGGCGTGGAGAAACTCGGGCTCCACATCGAGCCGCATCGCAGATGCATCGCCGATGCATCGGCGATGCGGCATGACCCTCCGACCCCATCTGCTCGACCCCCATGTGGGAGGCCTGGAACCTTTGAGTCGCCGACCCCCGCCGCAGTCCCTCGGCGCCTCCAGGCTGGCGCGGCGCCGCCCGCGCAGACCGCGCGGGTGAGCGGTCGCCGCCGGGCCGCGGCCGCCGCGTTTGGGGGCCTCAGCGCGCCAGGCTCGCCGCGCGGAGAGGGCGCGGGGAGGGCGCGCGGGCCGACCGGGCGCGACGCCGCAGCTCTGCGGCGCTGTGCGCAGGCACGCATACCGTGCGGTGGGCACTGCAGCAGCGTGCGCGCCAGCAGCAGGGCTCCACGCAAGCGACGTCAAAGCAACTGCCACGCCAAGGAGGACATCGCCGAAAAGCGCGGGCCACTCAGGGAGATCGGGCCGAAGGTGCAGCAGGCAGCAGGAGAGGCACCTTGCCTGCCGCCCGCTGGATGATGGCTTGCCTCTCCGGGGGGATCAACCTTCCAGTCAATGCACTTGTTTTCGGTGCCCGAGGCCGCCGGCGCACTCCTCGTGGCGACGATCCTCTGCGCCCGAGGTCCCCCCGCTCTCTTCCTCTGCGGCCGCCCTCCTCTCTCCCTGGTTGCCCAGCGTGCCCCTGCCCCCCTCCTCTCTCCCTGGTTGCCCCAGCGTGCCTTGCGTTTCACCCACCCAGTCCCGCACACCTAGTACAGCGTTTCGTGGCCCCATAGGGAGCCCCACCGAAGGTCCCAGTGCTACCGTCCGCATGCGTCCCGCACACCCGGTACAGCGTTTCGTGGCCCCATAGGGAGCTCCACCGAAGGCCCCAATGCCCCCGTCCGCATGCGTCCCGGAAGCCCAACTTGGCATTTTCACCCAATGCAGCGTTTCGTGGCCCCATAAGGGGGCTCCACCCAAGGCCCCCGTGCCACCGTTCGTATGCGTCCGGGAACTGTAATTTGGCATTTTCCCCCGCGCAGTGCAGCGTTTCGTGGCCCCATAAGGGGTCCACCGAAGCTCCCAGTGGGACCGTCCGCATGTGTCCCGGAAACCCAATTTGGCATTTTCGCTCACTCAGTAGAGCGCTTCGTGGCCCCATAGGGAGCTCCACCGAAGCCCTCAGTGGGACCGTCTGCGTGCGTCCCGGAAACCCAATTCGGAACACCACCCACATAGTACAGCGTTCCCCCCCGCCCAGTGCAGCGCATCGTGGCCCCATAGGGAGCTTCACCGAAGCAGATATTCACAATTACGGTACCCACAACTGCATATGGTTGGGGCCTTCACTAGGATAATTTCAGAGTTCTTCTTAGCGTTTTCGTCGAGGGGCTCGAACACACCAAAAACGCCCAGGCCTGTATCGTGCCTGGCGCTCCTCCCCCTCCTCGTCCTCCTCCTCCTCCTCCTCCTCTTCCTCTTCCTCCTCCTCCTCCTCCTCGTCCTCCTCCTTGACCTCCTCCTCCTCTTCCTCTTCCTCTTCCTCTTCCTCCTCCTCCTCCTCCTCCTCCTCCTCCTCCTCCTCGTCCTCCTCCTCCTCCTCCTCCCTCCTCCTCTCCTCCTCCTCCTCCTCCTCC